GCCGTGGGCATGGTGGGACTGGCCTACGCCGCCGTGCCGCTCTACCGCCTCTACTGCCAGGTGTGCGGGGCCTCGCGGGCAGCACCGGCACCGAGACCCGAGCGCGGGGCGGGGCAGCCAGGGCGGGGCGTGGCTGAGAAAGAGATGAAACAATACGTTTGAATCGATTCGGGGAAGTTTACTGAGAAGTGAAATCAGCGAGAAATAAATATAATGACTGAGAAATAATAATAATGCATTTGCACGTATGAAGGGAAGCTTCCTGAAACATGAAATCAGCGAGAAATAAATGTAACGACTGAGAAATAATAATAATGCATTTGCACGTATGAAGGGAAGCTTCCTGAAACATGAAATCAGCGAGAAATAAATGTAACGACTGAGAAATAATAATAATGCATTTGCACGTATGAAGGGAAGCTTCCTAAAACATGAAATCAATGAGAAATAAATGTAACGACTGAGAAATAGTAATAATGCATTTGCACGTATGAAGGGAAGCTTCCTAAAACATGAAATCAATGAGAAATAAATGTAACGACTGAGAAATAATAATAATGCATTTGCACGTATAAAGGGAAGCTTCCTGAAACATGAAATCAATGAGAAATAAATGTAACGACTGAGAAATAATAATAATGCATTTGCACGTATGAAGGGAAGCTTCCTAAAACATGAAATCAATGAGAAATAAATGTAACGACTGAGAAATAGTAATAATGCATTTGCACGTATGAAGGGAAGCTTCCTGAAACATGAAATCAATGAGAAATAAATGTAATGATTGAGAAATAAAAACAATGCATTTTAGTTTGTTAAGGGTCGTTTACTGAGAAGTGAAATCAGTGACAAATCAATGATTGAGAAATAAATAAAAATAATACATTTTTATGTATTAAGGGACGTTGACTGAGACATGAAATCAATGAAAAATAAATATAATTGAGAAATAAAATGAATACACTTTAAGGGAAGCTTATTAAATGAAAGCAGTGAGAAGTAAAATGAGAAATAAAATATAGGGGAAGTTTACTGAGAAAAAGCAGTGAGAAATAATGATTGACAAAAATAATGCATTTTAATTTATTAAGGGAAGCTGGCAAATGAAATGAGTGAGAAACAAAATGGTTGAGAAATACATGAAAACAATACATTTGAATGTATTAAGATTACTGAAAAATGAAATGTGAGAAATAATAAAAATGATTGAGAAATAAATTGAATACATTTTAATGTAAGGGAAGTTTACCGAGCAAAGAAATCTGACATAAATAAAATGACAAAAATAATAAAAACTTAAAACATAAGGGAAGTTTACTGAGAAAAATCAGTGGGAAATAAATATAATGATTGACAAAAAGAATGCATTTTAATTTATTAAGGGAAACACTGAGAAATGAAATGAATACATTTTAATGTAAGGAAAGTTTACCGAACAATGAAATCTGACAACATGACTGAAATAAAAATAATAAAATCTTAAAATGTAAGGGAGTTTACTGAGAAAAATCAGTGAGAAATAAATATAATGATTGACAAAAATAATGCATTTTAATCTATTAAGGGAAGTTTACAGAGAAATGAAATCAATGAGAAATAAATATAATCATTGAGAGAGAAATCTGCATACCAAAAAACAAAAATAACAGCATAGGTAGTGAAATGAAATAAATACAGTAAGACACCAAAAAAAAATCTGAACTGGGCTGGGGGAGAAGCACTGCTTGAAACCATTAATTTTTTTAATTGACTGAGTGGTGTAACGCAGGGGGCTTTTTTCCAGAGAGAGTGAAACTCCCAGTGCCTCAAAACATCCTTAATTTTATACTTAACACGGCAGTAATACGAGCTCTCCCTGGTTCCACAGACCACTGGACTCGGGGGGTCGGCGGTGGCAGGTCACGGCTCAGACCACATCGAGACTATGGAACCCGTTAAAGATCGGATCATCAAGGTCACGTTCAATGCCAACGTGCACGCGAGCCTACACTGGAATTTCAGACCTCAGCAAAATGAAATATATGTAAGTGACACGGTGATCAATCATTCTTTTTAAATCTTACCCTTGTGGTACTACGTGCAGGTCCTGTGAGCAAGTCACTTGGATGTACAGGAATCTGGTCCTGAAAAAAACTTGAACTTGACTGTAAAAATCTCAGCATCTTGGCCAGCAGCAAGACCATTCACGTCCATACTGTTCACATGAGTGCGTACAGAATTGGGACTCGGTGCAGATTGGAAAGAAGGACATGGGCACCTAAAGTCATAAGTCTAAAATGATGATCTAACCTGCACCTAATGACTGTTGTTTTGATCTGAGATGTCCTACATTCTTAAGACCATTTGGATCCTTTGCTCCTCAAGCTCTTCAGCTCCTCAGCCTTGAGTTCAGTGCAAAATACAGCAACCATAGACACTTTAATGAAAAGATATGGCTGGTGGCAGCAGTGGCATCTTTTTTAGTCTCATGGTTAGACCAAATTCTCAGCAGTTCATTTTGTCCTCTGTCCCCTTGTGGGCTATAGGCTAAGCTGAGTGGGAGTGTATCCTTCTCCCCCAACTGAAGACCGCAGAAGGAACACAAGGTTCATGGAGCCAGAAAAAGACAATGAAAAAGGGACCATAATAACTGCCCAGTGGCCAGAGCTTACAGCCAGGAGTGGGGAGTCCTGGATCTCTGCTTCCTGAACTGCACACATTTTACGTGAGAGAGTCACTGGATAAAAACAGACATAATCCTGCAAGTGGGCAACAGAACCCAGTGCATCCCCACCTACGAAGTGCCCTTAAGCAGCATGCCACAGAGGCAGGCTCCTGGCCTTCAGTAACTATTTTAATTTCCAGTCCGATGTGCGTCGTCGTCAGCTTTGCTAACATTTTTCAAAGACAGGTGGTGACTCTGCCTTCATGGGGGGGGCGAGGGCGGAGGGGGGCGGGTGATTGAAATGAATATTTCTGAAATAAATCAGTTATGCCTCAAAGTGCTTGGTGTGAGGGGTAGTGGGTTGTTGGAACTATAAGTCACAATATACAATTCTTCATTCAACAGGTGGTACCAGGAGAGACTGCACTAGCCTTTTACAAAGCAAAGAATTCAACTGACAAACCTGTAATTGGCATCTCTACCTATAATGTGGTGCCTTTTGAAGCTGGGCAGTACTTCAATAAAATACAGGTAAGTTAAACGTGATACTCCCAGGCACAAAGTACAGCTGTTCAGCTTGATGCTAACCTAATACTTCTCCCATAAGCAAAACGTTTACTTCCGTAAATAATTAGGGTGATATTTTAATTTGCTGACAACCTGCAAAATGTAGGTTTTCAGATGCACAGACTTTAAAATAGTCATGCCTTGATCTGCTCTCTCAGCTTAGGCTTTTTAATAATAGAAGTCAAATACTGAAGCTCTGTTTGAGAGATTCCAAAACAGCAACGCATGCGTTTTCTGTCACATAGTGATAAACTGTCTGGTCATATGGTACAGGCTATCCACTAAAAGCTATTTAATACTTTTCTACCAGCACTTTTCCATTAATGTATTTAGTATCGTCACAGTAATGGGATTTACCAAACAGAAATGACCCTTGCAATCACAAATGGGGGAGAAAGGTCATTTCATGGACAGTCTCTATTAAAATAATGGTCCGCACAACAAAGGGTAGAAGACTATCTCCACATCATCATACAGAGGAGGTCTCTGTACCCTCGAGTTTCCAATGAGATGGAACTCCACCTCAGTCCTGCTTAACATTTAAAACTTGTCAAGGTATGAGCATAGTGAAACAGATGCAGAAGATCTTTGCTCTAGCCTGCAGTATAACATTTTTGTAACTGTTCCTGCTTTCCACGTGCAGTGTTTTTGCTTTGAAGAACAGCGGCTGAATCCCCATGAGGAAGTGGACATGCCTGTCTTCTTCTACATTGATCCTGAATTTGCGGAGGACCCCAAAATGGCCAAAGTTGATCTGATCACACTTTCTTACACTTTTTTTCAAGCAAAGGATGGACAAAAGTTGCCTCTTCCAGGTTATCAGTAATATACAATATTGACACTGAATAAAATCTCTGGTACCTGCCAATGCCAGTCTGTATGGATGTTCTTCTAGAGACACAAGAAGGAGATGAAACATTGCAGCAAAGTACCACACAATATGAATGCCTATTAATTATTGTACCATTACAGGTATATACTGTTGTTCCTTCAGATATTTATTTTTTATTCCAATATTTGGACAGAACGGATAGCTAAAGGGAAGTCTTTGTAATCAAATACAAAAAATGTTGTGAAGATGTAATTTCCTATTCCTTACTATACACTCTTGGATACATAGAGTGTGATTAACAATCACAATCCAGAAAATTAACTCTTCCACCTAAATAGTGAGCATGAATACTCATTCCTGTAAATACTCTACCTAATCTTGTGAGCTAAGTAAGGATTTTTTAGTGATCCATCCTGTTTTTGTGTGCTATAGAAGGGAAGTTGGAAATCATCCATTTTAAGTTATTACTGAATCAAAAAACACAATGTCATATTTGGATCACTTGCTGCTAAAGGTGCTGCTTTTTGGATGAGTTATATTCTACATGTTCTGACTGCATGTGATTATTTCTGACCTCTTTGGAATTATTTATAGAAATATTGTGTCAATTCCAACTCAGGTAATCATTTTGCTAACAGTACCATATCCCATTGTCAGGGAAGTTAAGAATAAAAGAACAGCCATTATCAGAGTACAGCTTAAGTAGCTACATGTCTATGTGTATCCCTTAAAAGGGCAATAAAGTAATTTGATATCTGTGAAAATAGAAAAGCTGTTAATTGGCAATTTTCTGCTTTGCTGCTATGGCAGTTTCAAACCACATCCTGACTTTGCTTTTCAGGTTTCTGTTCAAAACCCAATATAAAGTAGCAAAAATGTCTACAAGAAGTCACAAAACCTATCAAAACTTATGAAAACAGCTTGATCTATATGTTTAAATCTGTCTTTTCTTTTAGGGAGGTTATATAATCTTTATCACAATAGTTTCTAAACACTCTTTAAGAAAGAATGAATGTTATTCTCCCAACACCTATACGATACATAGCCTGTTTTCATAGTTTTTCATTCCTTAGTTTAATGGAAAACTCTGTCAAAGAGGTGATTGAAACCTTCCCAATGTCTCATAATCCAGTATCCAACCTTTTAGTCCAATCCTTCCTTTCCCTCCCATGCATAAAATCTGACAAAAGCACGACCAGTGGCATCTTTCAGACTATAGAAGTAAATAGGCACCTTCAAAAGTGTGGGGAAAATGGTTAACTTCTTCCATTTAAGACTTTGTAAATTAAATCTGTGTACAAGGATTGAGAAACTGTGCTGTGGAAAAAACATCTTGCTGTCCTTCCCTGTTTTTTGGGTGGAGCGGGTGAGGGTGGAGGAGGAGAGGCAGGTTCAGGTCATGCTGTTTTAAGATGTACAAAAATTGCTTTGAAAACAAATATCACTGCGGTAAATACAATTACTGGTATCCAGCATATCTTTTGTAATGACAGAATGTCAAATCTTTAACTACTCATTAAAGGGTGTAAAGTGTTTTATGCCATTTGTCACATTGTTCTATGCATTTTTACTCTCTAGAGGGTAAAAACCTTTGCATAGAGTGATTCTGAGAGTCATTGTTTAAATCCTAAATCTTTGTCCTATAAAAAATAACAGCTTAGCCACTGGCATTTCCAAGTCTGTGCTGCCACAAACAAGAGTTTCCATATTACCTGTCAGGTGCTCTTGAGAAACAGACCAGAAGTTTCCTGCAGATCACTGTGACCTGCCAGCTTAATGAACTCTACTAACAGAATCATCACTACAATTTCTCCTCCAACCACTCACCTGACTCCCAAGAAAAGGTTGCCACGAGGTTGAGTCTGAGTTTGTGGACCTTAGTGAGTGATCTAACCAGGAACCTTTGCTAAGTATCTTTTTCGGTTTTATCTGCCCATAATTTTTTTGCAGCTTTAACTAGGCTGGAAGAATTAAAATAGCGAACAAAACCCCAGCTGTGAAGTAGCTATACTGCCATAAACAAGGTGTTGGGGCTGTGATTGGTACAGGTGCAGTGGCCAAAAATACATACATAAAAATAAAAAAAGTCAACTCTATAATTAGAAAAGAGACAGATTTGCCAGTTACAGATGGACAGTGATTTTCCTTTGGAATGAGTCTGCCCAGAGAGCAAGCCAGTTTAAAAAAAATGCAGGGCAGGGTGCCCCAGCAGGGAATTGTTTTCTTTCCCTTTCTAGGTACCGTATCCAAACAGGACGTTGGTGATCACGATCTTCCACAGATCTCTTCTAGGCATACAGAATTTCCAGTGTTGATACATTCATCCATTTAGATAGACCCTTGACATAATACAACCTCTGTCTCCCATGATATCGCCTTCCTTCAGTCTTTCCAGTTATGACCAGACTTTCAGTTTCCTCATAACGTGTCTGAGAAACTCCAACCGTCTCTTTCGGATGTTGATCAGCAGCTTCCTCCTGCAGCCTGCTCTTAACAAAGCATCTTCATTTGAAGTGTGACTTGTCCAACATACCTTCAAAACCTGCCTTAAGAACCACATATCAGTTGCTTCAGTTCTCTTTTCCATATTTGGCGATATTGTCTGGCATGCTGATGCATACGTGAGGACTGGTGTAACGTAGCAATCCAAAACTCTTAACTTCATCCCCATAGAAATTTTACTAGTTTTCAATATCTTTTTTTCATTTTCAGAAATGCATCTTTTGCCATCCTTATTCTCAGTTTTATTTCATGATCACATTTACCATCTGATGTTCTCCAACTTCCCAAGTAGTTAAATTTATTGACCTGCCGTATCTGTTCCTTTTCCACTTTGATGCTGCATACCAGAATGATTTTGTCTGCTTCTCTGTCAGTAAGTACATCGGAGCGTCTGCTACTCATGCCATTTGTAGAGCAGTTTGTCATATTAACTGCTGTAGAGGCTTCTCAACCTACTTGTCATGCCTTGTGTTTACACTTAATTGCCCTCAGTGATTTCTGCATGAGGGTATAAATGTATGTTAGCCAAAAAATCACCACCATTTTGCGTGGTGATTTTCTACAAAATTTTTGTTCATACTCATGTTAATGTACTAACAAAAAACAACAACCGCGAAGCAGCTTGAGAACTTAATGTAATTTAATATTGCTTACATTTATGAAGTTAAAATACTCAAAATGTAAAACACATCATTTAAATAGAGCTACCGTTTCACTTGCTAGCCATACAACCAAATGAACTAAGCTCTCATATTTTAGATCATAATTTTAAATTCAAAAAGTGCTGTATCTTTCAGCAAAGTGCAAACTTTACATTCAGCATGGAAATATAGGCACTTCAGCCCTGCTAATGAAAACAGCATCTTTTTGTGATCTGCGTAGTTCTTTTCCATCCCTATGGATTATTCCTCTCTTCCCCACCCCCCTTTTCAGGATAACGCTGGCAAAAACCACTCAATGCTACGGGCTGGTTCATATCCAGTTTTTGAAAAGACCCATTAAATTACAAGGGAGGATATGGTGACCAAGATGCAAACAATCCTAAAGCATCTGTTCCTATCTTGACAAGCCTGGCAAAGAGTATTTGGTGTTTAAGTTAGTCTCTACCGAGACAACGTGCAGCAATTTGTTGAAAGAAAGTTTATTGTTTCCCTTTGTTTTGAGACCAGGCACTTAACCTGATTTGGTTTAAAAAACCAAATCAACATCATTACTATTTTAGATGTAAAATATAAAGGCAATGAACGTTGCATAGTGAGCGTATTGACATAACAGTCAAGAGGCCTGAAGTAGGAGAATTCTGAATACAGAAGAATCTCCAGGGTTTTCTTTTTCTGGTTGGTATCGCTCAAAGTACTTGCACAATGACAAGTCAGAAGTGAGGTTAAATAAAGATAAATTATACATCTGTAAATGGATAAAAATTCCATTTTTGTTTACTGCATAAAAATTAAGCAGTATGACAGCGGTTAACGTGACACAAAACTTGTTTACAGTTACAAGGCTACTTGTGTGCCACTAAAGTCAGAGGCAGAGTGTATTATTTTTAAATAGGGAAGTTTTGAAAGCATGTTTTAAATAAGGTGTAAACCCCGATACCAATACACACACACAGAATAGTCCCAGTGAAAAATTAGCACTTTTTAAGGCCTTGTGTATAGTGTTAGAGATCAGAGTTGATGGTATATCCAAGTAAAGCATATCTGTCACTTAAGATCCCAATACTTGTTGCTATGTTCAAAATACAATCTTGCATTCACTTTTCACTGATAGAAAGCAGATCTCCGAAGCTGGCATCAGAGATTAACTTTTGAGACAAGACTTCATTTCCTGTCTCAGCATCTGGAATCTTTTTTAACTCCTGGTTTGGACAAATAAGCATCAATTTCTTCGTAAATAGCTCTGAAAGAAAAAGAACAGAGTAAATACTAGTTTATGCTCCCTTCATTTTATTCAGCAAAGCATGCCAATGAAATCCTGGTTGGTAGGAATGTTTCCTCTAACAATTTATAATGAATGATTTGACACAGCAGCAGTAGGACAACCAGGGTCCAAAAGCAGCACAGTGCCAATCATTGTACAATTATGTACATTTCTGATATTACTCAATATATCGACCTAGGAATAGGAGACACATTTGAACTTCTTTCCTGTTTAGTTCAAAATATTCCACTTGTTTTGAACTAATCAGGATTTGATCTCAGGTTTGCAGAAGTAAATGCCTGGAGAGCGAAAAGGTTAAACCTGCAAACAGACGATAATAAAACTACAAAAGAACGTAGCTCTTGCTGTGGACCATGACATTACTAAAACTGCTCAGAACAACTGCACATCACATTCTGATGATTCCTCAAAATCAAGATTGCAGAAATTCTGGCAAAGTCCCAGTGAAAACCAGGCTTGAGTTCTGCAGCCTAGCTGGTTTCCTACTGCTTCATCCTCTAGCCTCCTAAGGGGGTGGGAGTCCTAAACCCCAGACTCCATTCCCATCCGTGAAGAATTTTTAAATTTGAGGTTTTTTCCCCAAACTTAGAAAAAAAACAATTGAAACAACTAAATCCACCACAGGATGACCTTATTTTCTACCCAGCTCTAGCAATCACCTGTGTTCATGGATGTAGCTGTCAGATCTCAGCAGGATCAGTGCTGAATTCTTGGCAGATTTGTGCTGCTCAAATTGATTTTTAGTTTATTTTGTTTTAGTACCTAGGCAATACACCATTTTCTAGCTGCCTCCTAACCATACAGATAAGTTTTATTGGCCACACCTGGCATATTCAGGAATTTCCCAGAATTTAGCCACTCCCATCTAGCTCTCACCAGATGCCCAGGTCACTTGGATTAATGTGATACATACTTTAACTGACAGAAATGCTTCGTATGATAAACTGTTCTGTCACATGCTGTTAAAAAGTGGAGACAAGCTATTTGAGTAATATTTGAAGTTACTCACTCTGTGGCATCACTTGGTGCTAAAGGATCAAACTCCATTATCTCATAGTAATGGGACTGTGACTTGCTCTTTGATTCATCTGAAAAGAAGAGGGAAGACAACACATAAACCTGTATTTTAAAGTAAGCGTGTCATAGGCTTGATAAGTTTCTGCTTTTGATCTTAATTTGGAACAAGACACCCCCCCAATTATCCCCAATGAGATTTCCAGCTTTAAATATTAAATAAACACAGTTTTCAATGTATTTATCATAGAGCCTTGTACCATCATTTCTGACAGTGTTATTTTGCTGCTGTGACTCTTCAGAGCCAGTCATTATGCCAGATTCTCCAGGCCAAGGAGAAAACCAGATCCCTACGTTAAGATTTGGGCTGAAGTGTAAAGCTACTTCACTTACCTGCTGGTGCTGCACCTGGCAAGCCTTCATTTAGTGATAAGGCATTGCCATTTTGGAGGTTCACCAGATGCAGGGGCACTGGATGTAAAAGCTGAGGAAGATGAGCAGAACATATTATTTAACAGGGAGATAAGCAGATGCTGGGTCAACTCTGGGTTTTCTATTATTTCCTATTGGAGCCTGTAACACAAGGTCTGACAACAAAACCCCTTTAATTTATTCCTGTTCTCCAGATACTTTTTTAAAACCCTAATGTGCATTTGTATAATTTACTTGTATGGATTCTAAACCTAATCCAGAAGTTGCAAGATCTGTACATGGCTGTTCACCTGCTTTTTAGAAATGAAGCAAGGAAGATGGGTGATGACAGCCTTTTATCATTTGAACTACAGGTTCCTAATGTGACTACAAACCCTTTAAAATTGGACCAGTAATTACTGGAGTAATTTGCTTGCTACATATGACTGCCTGGCAGCTATGGCTAGTCAGGGCAGATTTTTGTTTCAGCCCTTGGATTTGACTTGGTACAATAAAAAAGCTCAAAGAGATCAAGGCTATGCTACAAATAATGAGGGGGCAAACCTTACCTAGACAAGGAGCTTCCATCAGGAAGATTTGAGCAACTCACTCCCCAGCTATCCTCAAAAGTTTTGCTGCAAGTCATTTATTTCTTTTAGCATAGCTGGGTTTTCACGCCCTTTGGTTTTCTAACATCTAATCTTCTTTCCTCTATATACATTCCTTGCAATAAGCAGAGACTGGCTTCATTTGTGGACATGGTGCTTTGCCTGTGATAGATATTTGGCTACTTGTTTTTTTTGCTCAAGGTTTCTATACTGCTTTAACTTTAAAGTATTCAGATGGTTTGCTGCAGGAGATTTACTACGTAGCAATCAGTTGTGGCATGTAGGGACCTCAGTATGTTAGTTATATACTCTAATCACACTGGAACTGCTGAGGCAGACTCCGCAGAGATTGTGCTGGACAAGCAAGTATCTCGCACAAACCTTCAGATTATGATGTGGTATTTCAAGAGGGAAGTTGGCCTGGTACAAAGTACTCCCTGCGGCTGTGGAAAAAGGGAGTGGAATGGATCTCTCTTCCATTTGGACAGCCACCAGAATAAGACTCGAGATCTGTTTAAAACTGCCATTAAAAGAATGATATTCTCAGCATCACTATTACTCACGTTGCCATATGTATGGACAGCAGGGCTGCTTTGGCTTATACTTTGCGTGTCTGTTGCAAACCTGCAGGGGGGCGGGAGAGAGAGGAGGAAATGAAAAAAAAACAAAGATCAATCTGTTGAAAGCCACGCATTCCTATCATTACATTTTTTCTCTCATTTGCCTTTTATCCTGGGATCAGCAGGGTCACCTAAGCCAGAGACCCACTTCTGTAACAGATGGGGAGCTAACCAGGCACTCTCTGCAAGCGCTCCTCCCCACTTTGAAACTAGCTCTCCAAAGATCTTAAGCTGTCCTGGTTTACTGACCTGCAGGGCAAGCCGCAAGGCTCATCTGCTTCTCACTGGCACTGAGAGGGCTCGGGCAGGAAATCAAAAAGGTCTTAAATATATTTTTGGCAGCTGGGTTATTATACATGTTAATAACAGGTCAATGTGTGTTACAGGAGTCAACTGATTTGAAAGCATTTCAGGGAGTCATTTAGAGCAGTTTTTTTCAACCTGTGGTCTGCAGACCTCTAGGGGTCCACAGACTATGTCTAAGGGGGTCCGGAAAAGCTGACTATGATCAATCAGAAGCATGTGAATACCGACATTTACCATTCAAAGGGGTCCGCACCTCCATTTGAAATTTCCAAAGGAGTCCGCAAATGAAAAAAGGTTGTTAGTCTGGAGCAGGGGTCGTAAACCAGGCAAAGATGTACCCCCAGGGGTACTTGAGACAGCCCTATGGGGTACGCGTGGGTGGGCGGGGATGGAGCGCCGCCATGCAACATCCCGCACAGGCACCACCCACCCGGCTGGACACGAGGGGGTGGGGGAAGCTTGCATGCGGTGGTTGCTGCCACTCTGCACCCAGCCGCCCCCCCGACAGCAGCTGGGGGTACACTGCTCTGTGTCTGGCCACCAGGTGTACAATGATCTAAAAGGATTGAAAGCCCCTGGTCTAGAGCAAAGGTAGATGCCCCTGCTTAGCTGAACACCTTTACAAAACATGAATAGGTCCAAGTGTACATGGGCCTGCCATAGGCATGTAGCAAAGCAATGACAAAGTGCAAACATCTTTGAGAGCATGATGCTGTCTGTAGTTTCCTGTTGAGATACTACTTACAAGAACTGTTGAGCATTTGCTGTTCCTAAATCCAGATTAGGGTAAAGCATAGGATGCGCATTGTTTGGATCCGGAGCACTTGCAGACCTGCAATCTAACATTTGGATTGGCGTTAAAATCTTGCAAGTTTTATTTAGCAAATACTTAAGTGTTTGCACTTTCATCTTTTATAAGCACTTCACTTTGGGTGGGCGGGGGTTGGGGGGGGCAGAGAGGTGAGTAAAGGTGCCACTGAGAAGCTGTAAAGTTTGAAATACACACTAAAAATTCTGGTCTTCAAACAGTCTGCTAAGACAGCAAGTCGGAGTAGAATTCAGATTACTGTATTTCTGCCTGACATACTAAAATGCCAGAAGGGAAGAAAGCAAGTAAATCACTGGCACTAGGCATAGGAGCAAACATATTTTAAACTACAGGACTACACTATTTCTTATTCTAGTTGAAAAAAATAGGTACCGTCAGAGCAAATGCATTGCATTTCTCTCTCTCCCTTGTCTAAGCAAAACTGTTGCTGAACTGAGAGAGCCATTTGAAAAAACCTTACGAGCTGCAATATGTTCACAAACCTCCTCTTGGTAAACTTAAAGAACAGATAACCAGTGCCAGTAAGATAGTTATAAAGGCACATGGTTATGTTCTTGGGCCTGGGAGACAGAAGCAGTTTTCTTTTAAACAATGCAAGGTCCCCTTTCGAATAATGAGGGAAGCACATTATTTTAACACACATGCCAAAGCTCTATTTTTGTACAAGCCCATTTAACATCAGACAAATACATTTGTAGTAATGTGTCCTGTAGGGGCCAGTGTTCTACATCACACTGTTCTTCCCACCGCTACCTACATTTTGTGCCCTCTCACATGCATTTGAAATGCATCTGAGAAAGCCCACCCATCATATCAGCACAGGGGAATGGCAAAAATAAACTGCTTCACCTTGTGCATTAGCAAGAACCGTAGGGCACCTATGCACAAGTGTGGCAGCTGCTCTGACACGCAGGAATTCAAGTTGGTCTAATGAAAGGTATCGTCTCTGAACCAAGAGTTCTAGACTTTTGCATTTCTTTTTGTCTCAGACCAACACAGCTACCAAATACATCTCTGAAACATAGAAGATGCTGAATTTTAGCCGGGTTTGGATTATAAACTTCACTGCTGAACAACAAGAAAAATGTCTACACCTCCCTGCTTGCTACCTGACACCAACAGGGAAGGAATCCTGTTTGATCTGCACAACAAAGAGCATCTCACAAAGATACTCTCAAGGACCCAGAGGGACAGATTTCCAGCTTAAGCTTCCTCTGTGCAAAAATGAAGTTTACTTCCTACATATGGGGACTTTTTTGCCATTTTTAATTTTCCCTGATCCTAACGAAGGGTGTGTGAGCCCAAAATTTTGCAAAAATATATATATATTTTGCAATTTCTCAGTTGGTCTAATGAAAGGTATCATCTCTGAACCAAGAGTTCTAGACTTCTGCATTTCTTAAGTTTCACAGGCATCTTGCCCTGCATCCATGAAACAAGATCCCAATGTGATTTGATTTCTACCTTGCTTTATGGTAGACTTCCTCCTATTTGAGAAAATCGAATATTTCACTCACTCAATCCTGAAGACTGAGAAGTAACAGCACCATTTTGCATCACTGCCAACACAGGGGGCACAGAACCGGAATGAAGGTCAAGTAGATCACAAGGAGGAGCAGATGGCTAAAAAGAGAGAGTTTAAAAACCTTTAGTTTTAAAAGAAAACAAACTAGAAACCTTTGAAATCAGAATCTTGTTATTAATAAGAGATGGGATGGCTGGGTTTTTTTTTCTTTTCAAACATCTTTTGATGTTGTGGTTGGAAAATGCCAATTCCCTGAAACCAAAACTTATTGCAAGAAAAACATCCATTTCAACAAATTTCCCATTTGCAAAACATTTTGGAAAAAAGGCTTCCAAAAAAGGATGTCTCAAGATATTTGCAACTAATTTTTCAATTTTTTGGGTGGCAGTGTCTTTTTATTTTAGAATTACAGTGAATTTACAGTAAGTATTTTTAAGAAGTTGAAATCTAAGAATTTTGATTAATTTGATCCAAACTTTGACTTGTGTGGTTCAACTGGGGATGGGAAAACTTTGCAAAACCTCAAAAACTGTCAGCTAGGAAAGCAGTTTTGTTCCCAGCTCTATGGAATGCATGCATCTTGCTGAAATTAAGTAGGAAACCAAAAGAGAAATTAATCAAATCTCACATTTTTTACATATAGTTGTTAGCACTAGATAGAAGAAATGTACTTAAATTAAGGGACTCGTGAATGACCACAGAAGAGGCGACTTGGTTTATTATTATAAACTAGTCCAACAAAGTAAATAGCAATCAAAAACATGCAAGTGGCCACAAAGGAAACTGCAGCAGTAGCAGTTTCTCATACGAAACAAAATTAACTTCACCTTTCCTTTAATAATTATGGGCTACATCCAAATCCCCATAGCACAGCCAGCCTCATGCTGTATTCTAAGGAGGCTGCGTGACTCTATAGTATCCTCGGTTTTTCCAACCCCCTTTGGAAGGCACTTGTTGAAAAGCCATTCAGTTAACTGAATTTCTTCAACTAAGTGTAACAGTTACAAGGTAAGTTAAGAATAGAGATGCAGTACAGTAGCAAATAACATTTTTAAAAAGGGATTTTCTTTTTTTTTTACATAAGGGCCACAGTTAGTTTAAAAAAAGATGCTGTTGTTTGGAGAGCGGGGGATTCAGATAACCAAGAATGTGCTGTGGCTTTGTACAAGTTGAGACTTGCATATCCTTATTTTGAGTAACATGGTTAATAAATAGGAGCAGCGATGGAGGAAAACAAACCTATAATCATTCATTTTTCAGCTCCACAAATGTTTATGGGGGCTAAAATGAAGGCAAATCTGTAGAAGAAAAGAAACATAGTCCTTTGCGTCATGCAAGAGATTAAAGGAGAATCTAATACGTGGGTACAGAAGCAATAAAACTGCAGTTGAATACAGTTCCTCTCTTTTTGCTTGTCCTTTCCTCATTTCCATGTTAAATTCAAGGGTTATTTGATACTTGTGCTGCAATATGACCTTCTTTTTGTGTGACTTTTGAAAATTAATAGAACAAGATAATCCCTACCAGAGACAGTGAACTGAAATCCATCAACTAGAGAATTTAATACCTTGTGTCACAAAAGCATATTTGTTGCCAAAAAAAAAAGAAAAGGAAAATCTCGTGTTTATAAAATCTAGGTCAGATTCCAACGCCAATGTTTTTTAGTTTGTCTGCAATTACTCACCTCCATGCTCTCTCTCTGTATTCTTTGATTCTCCAAGAAGCGCACTCGGTTACGAGAGAACCTGTTGGAAATAGCTCACTGTTAATGGCTTGGTCTTTAAATTTCCAGCACCATCATTCAAACAGGAAGTCATTCATAAGAATTCAGCTGTAATTTCTAAAGGCCAATCCTATAAAGGGAGGTCGACGATGTATATCACGTGCCATAGTCTCATGCACATTTATAACTCCAGTCATCAGTAAGAAGTCGTTGACATGAGGAAGGACACCTTTATTGGTACTGTACTGAACAACAGATGCATAGTTGCTGGAGCCACTAGAGGGGGTCATGGTTACAGGCACTGAGCCAATGCTTTTAAATTCACTGGACTCCGTAGCGTCCCAAGTAATAAGCAGATACAGGGAATGTAGTGTGACTTGCCTTAAAATCATACATCCATTTGAGTGATAATGAAACGGCTCCAGTTAGTTAATCACAACTATAAAATTACAGTCTTTCAGACATCAAGTTATTCAGCAATGTACTGAGATTTACGCACGGTAAACAAAATACTTGCCCAATAGCAAAGATGTCTACATTATTACAAAACTGCTATGAAGTATAATGCAACTGCAGCCAAGAAGGCTCATTAAATACACAGTGGGTGCGTCTACACAAGCCACTGACCCACCGGTACTGCACAATCCCGGCGGCGCATGGTTATTTTTAGATGCTACACGGCTGTAACGATGGGCTACGCTGCCATAGCTCATCACCACAGTGCTATAGCGTCTCATGTACATGTGCCCAGTATCACTGAACAAAACATGTTTTTAAAAATGACCAATTTCCCATTACCATTTGCAATTATTTGTTCTTTCTATCAGTAGGGGGCCTATTTCCCACAGAATCTGTTGAGTTATACCCACAAGTCAGTGTTTATACCTCAGCTTCCCAAGAAAAACCTCAATCATCAGGACTAATAAGATTCTAGGTCTACATTTGGATAAAGTGGATTTATAGAAACCAAAGAGAAATTCATTTCTGTTTTGCCAACACAGAAATCCTCCTAAGGCAAGAAGCGGAAAAACAAATCCTCTTTAAATAGATGACTACTGTAAAACATGACACATTGCTGTAGACTCTTGATTTAAGAATAATTAAATATTTTGAAGAAAAACCTAGAAGTTTTGCTAGCAACAGTTGGAAAAAATAATAGCAATCTGACTGCTGTATTTGCGAAAGGTGGAAAAGGGAAAAAAGGAAAATAGTCAAGACTGTTCTTGGTTGCTGCACACCCACTAGTTTCATCCATTGCAGCATCTGGGAGACAGAGATAAGACACGTGTGAACAAGATAAATAGGAGCTATAAAACAGACACATATATGATAACGTCTTCTGAAAGACTGGGTTATCTTGTGACGAGGAAGAAGGCACAGCACTTACATTGTTATCCTTAAATTGTTGCTTGTGGTGTAACCATTTTTCCCATTTCTATACCAAAGTAACTATGATGTACCAATGTAATCAGCATTCAGCTCCAACTACTTTCTTCAGAAAACCTATTAGGGCGAAACTAATGTAGCCTTCCTGATTTCAGAAAGTTGCAGTTTTCTGTTCATAGCAAATACCTCATAGCTTAGGCCCCAAAGAAAACAAAAAACCCCACGGTTGAGGATACATTGTCATGCACAGAGCACTGATTTCAGCCGAGACATCTCAGGCTGCACCTGAAGAGAAGCTGTGACTTCTACATGGAGAAATTACCATCTTTTCCCAAGCTAGGACATTTATACTGAAGCAAAGTTGAGCCTGCTTGGGCCTTAGAAGTGGCTCTGCAGAGCTGTTCCTGAGTGGCAGATGCACTGAACCAGGAACAGAATATTCTGGGCTTCAGTTAAATTACACAGTACTAAAAACACCTGAGCCTCTCTTTGCCTTTTCTTCACTGCAGCTTTCACTTGTGCTGCCAATGATGGAGCTGAGCTCATGGGGAATTACAGGTTTAAAGTTTTCTGTTATAGACAATATAACAGCAAAGCCATAGTACTGACTCCTCCTGACAATTACAGATCCCACCCCAGTCTTTGCAACAGCAGGAGTCTTAACCCCAGTGCCGTGGCCAAAGCCCAATATGATCAATTATATTCTGCTGAGTGAAATGTTCCCCTGTATAACTGGATAGGGCATCTTCTTCTTTTTCTGTATTAACTTCCAATCCTGCTGTCACTGAAGTCAGTGACATTTCTTAACCAGAGTGGGAGTGGGATCAGACCCCAGAACTATTGTGCAGCACTGTAATTCCCATTAGACAATTGCAGCGGACGTGGCAATATAGTTTGTGGTCAGCTTAGCAGGGGAAGTGATGTCCCTTTAGCTCGACACCGTACAGACATGGAGCCAAAAGCACTTGTGGCACTTTAATGAGAATCCCAACATACTGAGTAGCTACTAATGCAGAGGATTCATTAAAAGGCTGTTGAACATTTGCCTCTGTCACTCAGTGCTGTGTAACCCCAGGCAGCTCTCTGAAGCAGTCTGCACCTTACTATCCCCAGCTGTAAAACATAGTTTCATAGTAGCTAGGGTCAGGAGGGACCTGAACAGATCACCTAGCCTGACCCCCTGCCAGAGGCAGGAATGAATGCTGGGTTCACAAGACCCCAGACAGGTGATTGTCCAACCTCCTCTTGAATTTGCCCAAGGTAGGGGCGAGGACCACTTCCCTGGGAAGTTGGTTCCAGATTTTGGCCACCCTAACTGTAAAATATTGCCTTCTGATGTGGATGTGGATATTGCTTACTGATTAATTTCACAGGTATTTTATGTGGATTAATGTCCCCCCTATCTGTACAGCACTTCGAGATCCTCCACTGAAAAACACCATATAGAAGTAAAATTTGAAAAACACTCTGGCTTCCCTCTGGATACTGTCAAGGATAGTAATGACTACAAATTTAAAAAAATTCAAAGCTTTAATTTAAATATTAGTGTCACAACCTTTATTAACTTTTGTGATTGTTCTAAGTGTATGTATGTGTGATATTTTATTTCTCCTATCGTAGCATCTCAAGGCCTGGATGACAAATCCAGTTGTGTTGGGCTCTGTACAAAACAGAACCTAAAAGACTGGTGGTGCTTTAAAGAGACTCCCAAACCATAAGCTGCAGATTGGCTTAAATAGAGGCCTTCTCTTTATTTCACCAATAGATTTATCTTACTACTCATGCTGCCTCCTGTGATTTCATCCATGCTACGACTGATATACCACTGTGCAGACAGTGCAGTTTTCCAGAGAGAAGACATTTCATTTGTTTTTCCTTAGGCCCACGACCGAGGCGCACAGTCGAGGCATCTGCACAGTTTCACAACTCCTGCAGCGTCTAAGAGCCTCTCCTCTTCGTGTGACTCTTTACTTCAGAATTTCCACAAAAATTGGTTTTGTACCAGAAATTCACTCAATGGGAAAAAGGAAACAAAACCCTAGTGACATATACCTGCAACACACACTAAGAAGCATGGTAGGTTGGAGTACTTAGGCAAGGGGCTTCTCATACATAACGTTAATCATCTTATACCCAAACTAACATCTGGTATTTTCTTTTAATTTGAGGCAAGCTGCATTTATATTAAAGGTAGAGGTGCAATGGTATATAGGATGCATATCAGATCAGCACCGATAAAAGGAAAATTAACGTTATTGGCTATCGGCTTTTTTTGGCCAGTGTAGTCAATAATGTTCACTGATAAATATAATATGCCTTCTGGCCGGGTCCCCTGGATGCTGCATGCATGTATGCAGCCGCACGCATGCACGTGGCCAGGAATGCAGCTGGGCAGTGTGGAGAGCAGCACCTTGCAGATAAGTCTGAGGAGGGGCAGGGGCACGGAGGAGCGGGACAGAGCTATGGGTGGCTCGTCCAGGGGATCAGTGGCCCAGTGCTTAAAATGGTGGCAGGAGTACTTGAACTAAAGCTCGTTGAATGAGCTTTAGTTCAAGCGCTGCTGCCACCATTTTTAAGCGCAAGGATGCTTTTAACCGCCCAGCCGAGTGGGGCAAGGGCAGATGTGGGCTGCTCACTGTGGGCTCGGGGCTATCTGTCCTGCTGCCTTTGCCCTGGGGACCCAATGCTGGCCATGCACCCCCTGCCTGCCTAGCAGAGAGAGACACAACTCGCCACCCCACTGCTATTGGGTGGGCAGGAGATGCATGCAGCCCCTGAGGGAAAGGCAGCAGAGCAGAGAACCCCGAATCCACAGCGAGCAGCCCGTATCTGCCTTGCGGACAAATCTGGGGGGGCACATGCCCCCACCCCCAGGCTTCCCCGGGGTGGTGCGTACAGAGGTGAGGAGCTGACCACTCCCTTCCCCTCGTATCCCCTGGACGAGCCAGCAGTGGCTCCATCCCACTCCCCACCCCAGCCCTGGACCCCACTCACTGCCCTGGCTGGGCAGCACTCCTAGCCCCTACCCCACTCCCTCCCTCCCTCCCTCACCATGGAGGCCTCAATCTGCCTGCCCCCATGCCTCTTCTCCTCCACAGACTTACCTGAAGAGAGCTTCTCTCCTGTAAACCAGTTTTCTGATTGGTATTGTCCAATATAGCTGGTTAATAATTGGCAATCGGTATAAGCCAAGAAAATCTTTATCACTGCACCCCTAATTAAAGGTGAACTAAAACTTGGGTTACTCCACAGATGGCATAATAAGGAAACAGAATTCTGCGGTCAAAATAGCCTCATATCATAAGTGAAACAAATATTTACTCCTGCAGCTTAGGTAGAACAACTGGTTTCAATTCTGCAAAAGGATCATGTGATCTTTTTAAGAAAACTAGGAAGCAGGAACTCTACCCTTTGGCTGACGTCTACAGTAAAGCTGTCCAGCAAGATTGCTCAGGAGGGAGAGAAAACATGCTCTTCTGTGGGAATGCATGTACTCTGGATGTGAGAAACTGAACCAGACTGTGATCAGGAACAACTGGAACTTGGAGTGGAGTGGAGCCAAATCCAGTGGTGCTCAAAGAGAAGGAAATGTCAAACTCCAAGACCATTTCTTTCCACGTACTTTTTTATTCCCATCTACACTAAGTAATTTGATTTAACCACTATGCAGGTCTTCTAGAGGCCTTCCACAAACTATCAATCTTCTGTGTCCAGCTTGTGAAGCATCAAGAGGAATAAGAGAAACATGATCACAAAACAAAGAGGAATGTGCTCCTGTTCTCTTTGGGACCGAGGATGAAATTCACTTCTATGTTAAGGGCCAGCACTAATCATATGGACCAGTTAAATCCTTCAAGGCCTGAGTGGGACTTCAATGCTTCACATGCCTCAGGCTAGCCCTCTTGCCTAATGGGGGATTTCACTCTAAAGAACATCAGACTCAAGAGTTAAGTTTTCTTGAACAAATTTGGTTGGTGCAGTGTGAAGGCCAAATGTGCAAGTGTTCAAGACACTTACCTTTCATGTCCCAGGAGGACATTATTCAGGTCTTCATTCACTTGAATTAGTTCGATTATCACATCTTCATTCTGAACTATTGCCAGCAGCTCTATGATCCTCTCCTGCATCATCCGACACGTTTTGTATAGTTTCTGCGTATAGAAGAGGGATGTCATCATTATGGTTTCCCACACAATTCTGGAGGATAATTAACAGCTTGTGAATGCTAGGGAGGCATTGATAGTGCACTGTCTAATTCAAATAACTATGTACATGCTAAAGAGCACTCATGACAAAATCTCCACATCCCATTCTTTAATTCTCAAGGATTCTTCTGGCAATCTTCCTGCACATTGGGGCCGATGACTCCCATTGTCACAATCAATATCCTCAGTGATGACCCAGCCTTGCTTTTTTGGTAGCTTTGTCTGCCTTAGAAAGCCAGGGAGTAATGTTTTCAGAGGAGCAAGCTGTTATTTTTGTTTGGCCGAGGTGTGAATTCATACTGGTCTTCACTCAAAGTCCATTACAATCAACACAATTATTTTTATCAGCTCCACTGGATGTGATCTTGGATTGGACTCATTTATTTCAAAGAGTGAAATAAATAATCTAGAGTACAGATGGACCCGTGATACAAACCCATAATCCACAGTTCCTAGGATGGGTTTTACTCAGTATCCAAGGGCGTGTGTAGATAAAGCAGGGGCCCTAAAAAACACCGTTTTAATTTAGGGCTGATTAAACCCCCGTGTCGTGCATGCACGCTGCTGAGTTACCTGCCTCTCCAGCGGGGAGGGGAGGGCGAACTGCTGGTGTGCGGAGTGGTCCCTGGGCTGTGGTGGGGGCTGGTGCTTCCCCCCGTGGCAGCTGCACCCCCTACCCCCCACCCCAGGCAGCACCTGCCCGCAGGCACCTGGCTTGGGTGGTCCCGGGGGGCACTGCAGCTGCAGAGGGAAGCACCAGGCAGGCAGGCTCGGGGGGAGATCAGGCTCGCCGCTTTTCTTGGGTGGAGCTGCTTTCCTGAGCTGCTGCCAGGCTGCCTGCAGGGCTTCCTGCAGAGCCGTGGAGCTGCACAGAGCCCGGTGCTTGGCTCTGCGGCTGTAGGGGCAGCAAACTAAAACTCCTCGAAGGAGTTTTAGTTTGTTGTGCCCCAAGTCATTTAAGGTGCATTACGCCACCAAATTTCCTACAGCAGCTGGAATTAATGCGCAATACACCACCGAGGCGTGCAAACACCAACACCATTAAAGCAGTGCAAAAGCATTTAGCCCGCTTTAAAGTGTTGTGCGCACACGCTTCTTGTTTCGTCTACACACGGCCCAAGAAAGCAAGTTTGTTCCCTACTTTGCCTGGCTGGCAAAGTGCTTAATTAATTTTTTTCTGCCAATGTAATGTTTTGGGGGGCTTACTGTTCCCAGGTGTTTCAGAACACAGTCCACAAGGGGCTTTTTAGCCACTGAGATAACTGCACGAATTCAAGCCCCTTGTCTCCATGTGGATCACAACTTGCCCTGATGCAGTTTTCCCTTTTACTAGGGGAATGTCCTAGATCTTGGGTGATGCAAGGCTAAACAAACAAAACACCCCTCTCTGGGCCACTTAAGCCTAAAGCAAGCGGCTCTTTCACAAAGAACACTGTGAAATGAAAACTGAACAAGTATTGTAAAAGGATATAATCCTTTGATCCAAGTGACCTGGGTGGAGACACAATCAAAAGACGAGGCTAGGCTTGTAAAAACCAACATGCATTTGTTATGCTAGACACTTGGTACTTGGAAAAGGGTCTTCAGGAAGGAAGACAAAATACCATTGTTAGACTCAGGAATAAAACTTTGTTCCTTTTACACTTTTGCACAAAGTGTGAAGTTCATTCCCTACCCTCCACCCCATTAACAATCATTTCACTCTTGGAGTATGAGCTTGCACTGCTTACACTTCTATAGTCTTCCTGATGGCAGGAAGACCTACTTTGCTTTTTACACAAGAAACTCTGGCCAGAAATGGCAGATCGTATAACTCTTGCCCTGGTTTTCAAAGCACTAACTTAAGTGCATGGTACTGGCCCCTACCATGCACAGAATTAGACAGGACATTTTGTTCCCATCCTTCAAAAATGTTCCTGTCCTGTATCAGGACAAAACCAAAATCTTTGAAGTTTTTGGTTTTTTTTTTTTTTGTGGGGGGCGTTTACTGATAGAGGGTAACTAATATCCCAAGTGAATGCTGTAACCACCAGGCTGAGACACTCAGGATTAGGTCTCTGCTCTGCCACTCTCCACACCTCAAGGATGCTCTCTCATTTTCCCTCCACTTTATTTTAACTGTTTGACTTGGTATAAATAAATATATATTGGAGAAGAACTTCACCCAAAGCCATGCAAATGCCCTATTCTCTTACACACACACACACTTTGGACACAGATTTCATCTTACAGCTGATAACCCTTTCCTGAGCAGTTACACATCCCCACAAAAAGCCCCAGATGTGGCAAATCAAAATTTTCTGACGACAAACTATTTCGTCAAAAAATTCTCAACTGGCTCTGGTAACAGGTGACCTCCAAACTGGGCTTAGCACAGATGCAAACAGAGGTTCCTTTGAACAAGCGACTATAAGCCATCTTATTTCTGCTGGGCAGCCTAATGCATGCCCATTCTAGCTACCAGCAAAAGACAAGGCATGAGGATATGCTGTTCCTATCTTCATTCCCCTCCGAAACACCTACCACCACCAGTGGCTGGGAAGTAGCTGGACATGTTCTATGCCAGCCAAGTATTAAAGCCAGCAGTAGGGCTCCTTTGCACCACTGCAGTAACATGCATCAGCTAGCTGTGTCTGCCTGATAAGCATCATTATACCCATTCTACAGCTGGATAAACAAGTTAAAGGCAGAGGTCGACATTCATGGTCACAGATGACTTGATAGCAGACCCAGGAAGAAAATCCAGAATTCCCCCACTGTTACCCCTATCCTCCTCTCTGGAGAAGACCCCAGTTCTACAATTGACTGCCCAGGTCTAGACTGCTGCTCTCACCCAAAACGAAGGATAAGACTGAAGGAAACTTAACATGTAACAATAAATCTTTGTATTTTTTGTGCCTTAAATTACATCCTTATTTGTTGTTCTTGTGGCTCCTCAAGCTGAGCCAAACCCTTGGTTATTTTAATTTTGTTTTCTATGTTAGCTGGGAGAAAAATATATATATATCTTGAGTGATATGAGAGTAGAAAGGAAATGAGACTTATTTACTGCACAGATTATTGCTGCTGCTTTGGAGGCAGAATAATTGTAGCACCCAATCATTATGCACCAGCATCCCTCTAAACAGACATGCAGAGAATTGTTAAACTATGCCTCAGTTCTGAGAAGCCAGCGAGCCAGTTTTGCACAGTAAATGTTTATGCAGATAGCTTTTATAAAATGCCTGTTATTTATGGGATTGCTTTATAATAGTCTCTCTTTAAGATAAACCTTAAAAATCCATACCATTACGCTGGGGATAGACTGAGTCAATGTTTGATTGCAGAGTTCTTAATAATCGCACTATTTAACTGCTTGAACATAGCAGCTCAAGAGGATTACAGTGGAAGGGCATGGGACATTTCTGAAACATGCAGTAATTAGCAAGTAGAGAACCGCACTGTGCTGCAATTAAATTGTGCGGTCAGTAGGGCTTTGCAAAGCTTCGGGTGCTGATCTGATTCGGAGGAGATTCGGCCCAATTCAGCAGCTGAATCTCCAAATCGAATCAGCAGATCAGTAAAAAGGTCCAAATTGATTTGGAAAAGATTCGGAGAGCTTGGGAGATTTGGGCAGTCCCCACTCGCTGCCACAGGGACCCGGACTCCGTGCTGGTAAGTAGGGGGCAGGGGAGGTGGGGGCTTGGGGAGGGGACAATGGGAGGACTCTTGCCAGACCATATTCCCTGCCTGCTCCCCCAGCCATCGGGGCTTCTGGGGGCTCGTGGCAGAGCCCCCCACACAGTGCGGGGCAGTGCAGGGCAGCGGGGATCAGCCCTCGGCCTGGCAGCAGCCGGTGAATCTGGGGCTTTTTCTTTTTTAAAGAGCCAGGAGCTGGGCCCGGGCAGGGCAGCCATTAACGGGTCTAGGAGAACGGGCAGGGGATGGGGCCTGTCCAATTCAGAGGTTCGGCTGAATCAGCAGCAGCCGAATCTCCGAATCGGATTCGGCTGAATCGATTCGGCAGTGATTCTAATCACTGAATCGAATCACTGTCCCCTGAATCAGACGAATCCAAATCCAAAGCGAATGCTAGCCGCTTCGCACAGGCCTAGCGGTTAGCAGTTTTACTTTCCAACTGGGTTTTCTTCTTATGTTTGTAAATTCATTTAGAGCCAGACCCTGGAAACTGGTGGCTTCAAGCCACTTGGCTCTTCCTCAGTTCTGGGACTGGCTCCCAGTGGCATCAGGTGCAGATTATGATCACCCCAGTTAGTCCTAATCCCTAGGCAGAAATCTCATACTAAAGGTGAACATAGCAAATATACCAGGATTTCCCCACACAGGGACAATTCTCCACTGGCCAACTGACTTAAGGCAGGTCTACTGAACTCACCAGGAGAACTAGCTTGCCAAAGCAAAAGATACAGAAAGTTCCCTCACCCTAGAATACGGAGATAAATTCCATATAAGGACCAGCTGTACCTGGTCCATATGCCTGAATCCAAAGTTGCCATATGGCACAGATCACTCATAAGGCTGAAACATGAGGATTTTGCTTGTAATGTAGGCAAGTTAAAACACAGGAGTAAAAAAATGATATTGGAAAATAAAAAGAAACTGGAGAGACTGGCTCCTTTATCCCCAGCTGGATTCAGTTGGCATCTTACTATCCATTTACTCCTGAAGTGTAACCTCTGCTAATGAGTAACAGCTGCCTGTCTTTTAATCTGAACAATGAAAACCAGACCTCCCTATTCTGGCACTCAGTCTACATTCAAGATAGTGGGATTGATGCAAAAAGCCCTGACAGCTCTGAGACAGTGATGAGAGACGGACAGAGAGACCTTAGCACCATTTCTTTCCACTTGGGATAGCTGCAGTCAGCTGGAAACCTCTTACACTCTGAAGAAATACCCATGGCAGAGCACAAGGGCCTTCCACCCTGGGGCTCACTCTGCCTTGCCTTCCCTTGGAGCTCGAGCTTGCATGGGAAAATACATATGTTGTTTTCTCCCTGCCATGGCAGGTGGAGATGATAATGGCAAAAGAAAATGAAATTACCACCAAAGCAGCTGGGCTCTGTTTTCAGTTTACCATGTGAACCTTGATGTTATTGAGAATGGGCACAATGTATGTTGTTAGAATAAACCTTAACGAAGCCATTAACAAAACCCCAGCGACATGTTATACTGCACCTGTAAAAGGTTCATATCTTCAGGATTTTCTGAACCAGGAACATTTTCCTTTAATATCGATGACATGACTCTTACATTCATTTTGGTCATATCCAGTTCGCTGTTCACCTTCCCGATCTGTTCAGGACAACGGGACAGAATGGCATACAGGTAAGTACAGCAGCCACAATCTTTTTCATATCTAAAGCATGTTTTCTCTTTCATTATCAGACACATTGCCAGCCTGATCAGCATTGGTTTACTCCAGTTTTAAATACTCAGTGGAAGTCAATGGGGCTAGCTGAGTTTTACCCCACCCTAAAGCAGGGGGCTCTCCAGCCTGCACTCTGTGTAGTCTTACACTACTGTCATTCTTACTATTTAGTCCTATTACTATTAAGCAGACTGAATATTTTCATTTATCCAAAAGCGAGAAGGTATATGGTTTGTTCCTTTCTTTCTGCCTTTTATAGTTTTACACAGCTGTCGTACAAAAAAAAGTTTTCTTTTCTTAGAAGCTTCTTCATACTGATTTGCACAATAGTGCCCTTAAAAAGGGCTTTAGACCTTCTCATACATAAGCAAAGGTATGAGATTGCTTTCCAATCAAGCAGTTCCCGGTGTTTGTTCAATTCCCCTTCCTGGCACAAGATTGTAGAAAGCTTTTCTTACAAACACTACAGTGATTCAGCAGTGTTCGAATGGAGGATGCTCAGCACAGGTCTCTACCACTCAAACAAAAGGAGACTGCCTATTCAAGCTGAGCGGTCACAATCCTCAACACACAACCAGCTTGTTTCACATGTAAAAGGCTGTTGCATACCTGTTCAGGAGTCAGCATTATAGTTGAGGTAGTGGAAAGAGGCATCAGGGAACATTTCACTGAGGCAGAAGAAAGTGGTGAAGACTTAGTGATGGACTGAGACAAAGCCTGCCAAGACACAAGACAAGCAGAGTTTCCATTTAACCTGAGAATTCAAAATGACATCCAGATGGCAGTGCTCCACAGCGATTTTATCAGACTACACAACAGGTATTAGCCTCCTCTTCATCAGGAAGGAAAGCGTAGAGGGAGTTTGTTGAGCAAGTTCCATTTACTAAAGTAAATCCAGTTATTTTTGTAGTAAAAAATCAGGCTGGGGGTGCAGTTTTGTTTCTGAATGGGCAACTAGAGGTAATGTCTCTGTGGTACGATGTGTAGCTCTTAGTCCGTGTCTGGTGAGGAGAGTCCTCTGATTTTCTCTGGGGAGGTGGCAGTTCTGGAGGAAGAACAACCTTGCTGTGGGACTGGGGTATGGGTGATAATGGAATCACATTAGGAAAAGAGAGAGAGGCAGGAAGATGAATGGAAAGGGGAAAGCATCAAAAAGCTAGAGACCACTGGCAGCCAGAAGCCTTGTTTTTCCTCCAGGTGAAGTTCACTGCAGCACAGAAGGCCTGCACAAGGCCCTGTGCTGCAGCCCTTTCATCTTCCAGATGTGCTGAGCCCAACTGCATACATTGAATAATGCTTCTGCATTACTGAAATGAATAGGCACTTTGAACATATTCCACTGGGCACAGGACCAGGCATTAAGGCCACATCTTTACTGCCCTCCTGCCAAGCACAGGACCACCATCAAAACATTACCTCCACTCTATATATGCCCAGCCCAGCAACTAGACAGAAAGCCTGAAAGCGGCGCTGTGGTGCATGCCGAGGCTGCACTGTGCAATCCATGCAGCCTACCTGCTCGGCAGTGGTACATGTAGCGCAAGGATGAGTGGGCAGGACTTGTTTCTCAACAGCAGTCCTGGTGTCAGCAGGGAGGGGGAGATTCATATCCACAGCATGTGGCGGGGAGGAAATGATTGTCTAGTCACATCCAGCAAACAGACTAGTTTGATAGGCTTAACTTTAATACACTGGCTTTCTTATACACTGCCATACAATAGTCACAAAGCCAATTTGTGAATCACTTTAAATCACTTCTATCTGGGCTTATTAGAGAACTCTAATTCCATAATAGCAAGGATCCACCTGACAGGTTCGCTCTTCTCAAAAGTCTTACAAAAGCTGCTCCAACTGATGGAAAACATGCTGGAAGACCCTGATTTGAACAACTTCCTGCACAGACAGCTGGTGGGGACTGCTCAAGCTACGTTTGCACCAACTGCTTAGCTACAGCACTGTAGCAGCTGCTTAAATGGTAAAGACAGATGCTTTATCCATGAGGTTGCAAATTACAGACCAATGGGTAGAGATATATATAGGGAAGTTCTTTAATTAAATATCCCTACCTCTCCTTATCTCATTCTGCACAGGTAAGGTTCACATCTTGAATCATCCACCACTTTCATGCAAATTTTTCTTATTTTGGCTGAGACTTTCAGAGACCTAAGGGATTTGGACACCCCACTTACATTAATAGCAATGGAAACCAAGTGCCAAATCTTTACCCGATTTAAAAGTCGGGGGGATTTATGTTCCTTTTAGAAGGCAACAAGGAAGCTGTCTTTTTTTTAAATGAAAGCAGTTGTTTTTAAGCTGGTTGTTTTTCTTAAATATGCTCCAGGGCAGAACAGGTGACTGACTTCCTGAGCATGCAAGCAAAATTAGCAGCTTCAAATCCTAACAAAAATCAACACACCTTCTCCAATCACAGAGATCTGACAATTAGTGGATCCGGTTTCTGATTAGTAGTTACTAACACACACCTACCTTTTTTGTCTCCGTGTTGGTGTCAGTACACGGAAACTGCACTCCTTTCTTCAGCAGTTCCAGGTAAACTTCCTTTACTTCGCTCACATCCACGGTTCCTTGAAACCCATGGGTCCAAGTCTGTTTGGGGTATAAAAAAACCAAAAAAAAAAAAGTATGTTACAAAAACCAGAATTTTTCACTGAATTAAGGCTATATTTGAACATCCTTTCCCTAAGTGGCTTTTTCTCTATCTCTCCACACAGAGGGATGGAGAAGACCTGAAAGGTCAACCTACTCTAGTTCAACCCCCTGACTGCATGCAGGATTTGCTGTTCTCTAAACATGAATTCTTGAGAAATACAAGATCACTTCTGTGCCAAGAAAAATGGAAGATGTTGTCTAAGGATTGGAAAACCTTTTTGTAGAGAGGTGCTTCTGCTCCATGTGCTCTTGAAGGTCTCCTCTAGGGTGACAATTCCCTTTCTACATGAGTTACCCGACCCTTTAGCGGCACTCAAAGCAGCAGGAGCAAGAAGGAAGAGAAAGCTTCAAAGCTCCTGCTCACTTTTCTCCTACAGTCCTGAAAAGGAGGACTGCCATCAGGGAGGGATGTCCTGGGGGCAGGTTGACAACTTCCCACAACTCCTTCCTAGTCTTTTCCCTTTGTTTCCTGCATCTTGCTGCTTGTATAAGTACAAAAGGAATAAAGACAAAGGGCATCTTAACAAGATGACCTCCCATAAGCCATTTCATAGTGCAGCACTGGGTTGTGTCGTTAAACATTTACTATGTGTGTATAGCATTATGTATACTATGCTTACCATGATAAAGGTCAAGATTTTGTCCTGCATGTCAGTTGGCAGAGCGTATCTTGGATTCAGCAGCTTCACAAGCCTCTCTTTGCAGAAGTCTTTCTTCACAACTAAAGACTGAAAGCTTGGGCCACAGTTCTGCACACACATGTCAAGAAGCTGTGGAGAGGAGGGATTTCTATCATATAAAAAACTCAAAAAACTCATATAAAAACTCATATAAAAATAACTCAAGTACTCCCATTATATTTTTACTTTCATTTTAATTCATGCCTGGGCTTTCTATTGATTGCCAGGTGGAAGAGCCTTGAACAGATTAGACCAGAGATGCTCAGCCACTGGCCCTCTGGGTCTGATCTGGCCCCTGGTAGGGCATGCAGGGCAGCACGAGGCCTGATCCTGGTGTGTGGGGCTAGGAAGAGGTGGTGCAGGGCCCCAGAGCCTGGTGTAGGGACAAGCTGAGCCCACATGGGACTGATCTGGGTGCACAAGATCCAGTCCAGCTCCTGGACCAACACTGCGCAATTCTTCTGGCCCACAGAGCCAAGACACTGAGCACCATAGTATTTATGTGCTGCCTAGCAGAACACAGTCTGGGCTTCAAAAAGTAGCTGCCCCTATTTCCCTAGTGTTTCCCAGAATTAAATGATAAATTAAAAAGAATGAGAGCAAATTTAGCCCCTGGTTTTCTTTCTCCAGATGTTTCAGGGGTCAAGGAGACCAGAAAACAGCAGCCAAATTATTTTGATTGCCAAACATTTACTTTCAGAGCAGGATTTTGGATGCTCCAAAGAAGGGGCTGTGCCCCCAACGTATTGCCCATAACAAGATTTGCTACTCACATACAACTTTCCCACCTTAAACCTCAAAGAGCTTCCAAAGGAAAGCAGTTCTCAGCTGCATGTTACGGATGCAAAATGCGAAGCACCAAGAGGTCCCCCGAGGGCCTCATCCACTGAAATCAAGCCAATCCAATCCTTCTGTTGACTTGACAGGCATTGGATCTGGTCCACAGAACATCAGTGGATAGGTTCCTATTTAAAGGCAGGAGACCCGTCTTTGAATAGGAACCCCATTCATCGCAGTACTAGTGTCCACAACCATAAAGAAAGATGATGCGACTTGCCTCTGTTTTTGCACCCCAACTCTCTCTTTACTATCCACATGGAGAAAATATTGCTGGGATCCTCTGACCCCAGCTGACTTCCTGCCCCTGGGGCAGGGGGCTGGACTCGATGATCTTCCAAGGTCCCTTCCAGCCCTAATGTCTATGATATCTATGAAAAAAGTGTTTCACAAATTCTAACCAATTTAGGTATAGGAAATATTCCTAAAACTGGTGCAAGCACTAAGCTGCAACACAACAGCTGCAGTTGAGCTGATGTGGATTAAATAAGCTTTTCCTCCTCAGTGCTGACTACACTGGATCACTGTAAAAGCACTTGAGGAGCTCACTTCCTTGTCTCAGGACCCGTGGATTTTTCTCCCAGCATCATCAGGACCTCAAACGAGAGGAAGAACAAGAGCAGCACAAAATGTATTGCAAAAACAGAGAGCGTAGCACAAAGATGCTGGCAGACCACTGTGAGAAAAACCAAGAGATAATTACCAGAAAGTCTTGGCTTGAATCATTATTTTTCATATGAAAGAGTACATGAAAGAAATGCTAATAAGCAAAGTCATTTGCCTGTTCAGTACTTCAAAGACAGTTTGTGTAAAACATTTTCAAACCAGCACATGGGGAATTAGGTATGCAGCTCCCATTATTACTAACTTCCTACATATGGGATCAAATAGTTACCCTTTCAGTTAAACTGCTGCAGTGAATGGGACAGATCCTCTACTCAGTTATGCTGGCGTAACCCAACTGACTTCAGTGAGGTGCCCTGCTGTAGCTGAACAGAGAATTTGGCCTAATTAATCCACTATCTGCACTGTGCGCGAAGAAAGCTACTTTCATACAAATAGCTTCTTTTATTGCCAAGAGCTGCCTGTTATTTCCCCAGAGATTTGCACTGGAATCAGAAGGACCTGGCATCGAAGTAGGGTGCTGCTCCGCGTGAGTAGGTGCACCAGAATCTCAGCACGAACTAGATTTCAATAAAAGCACCTGCAAATTTATTTTTAACCGCTCCAATTAGACTTTCCATATCCAGGAGGCAGAATCTGATGACTGTAGAGCTGGCACAGTTCCTATGCCTCAGGGTAGCCAAGGCCGGACATCCAGGTGAGAGGAGTTTCTTGTCAACAAACAGGGAGTTAAGTGTAAAATTGTGCAATGCACTCTCAGATCCATGATGCAAAACCCAGCTCACCTAACAAAAATGTGTCTAGGCCCTTTGTTCCAAGGCAGAGATAAGGGCAAGCTGTCACAGAGCACAAAGGGAAAGAAGAAAAAGGGAGATGGGGAAAGGAAGAAGGAAAATCTCCGTATTCTAGGTAAGGCCAGATCCTACTTGCACAGTTCAGTAAGACTGATGATGTGAATGAGTAAAGCGAGCTAGATGTGGTCCTCAAAACTGGGCTGGACTAGTTCAGTTAATGGCAGACATGTCTAGAACGAAAGGATGCGGTTAAAGGTTACAGGTGGATATTTGATATCCTCATAAATCTGGAGACCACCAGTTTTGAATGCATCAGCGCTCTTCAAAGTGTCATGGCCTGGATTGTCTTAGGTGATTATTCTATCCGCAGGACTGTACCCATTGCACATTTACTAGCGCTTTGCCCAGTCTTGTTTTGAAAGTCCTCAGTGATGGGGATCCTACCCCTTGCCTATGCAGGCAAAGCAACACGTCTAGAGCTCCTAGTTCTCAAGGAGAGCTGTGCATAAGCAGATCCATGATCCAGTGCAGATCTCATTTATAATTATTCTCAGTAGAGCTGGTGGTAGTTTTACATTTCAAATTCAGGGCTTTTCTAAATGTTCTGGTTTTTTGGTTTAAAAAAAAATGTCAAATGTTGAAATTGGGATTTTCCTTCTTCTCCAACCCTTATCTTTTCTTCTCCACTTCCTTCATTCTTTCCATGGAGCGAAATAAAATTAATTTTAATTGTGTGTGTAGCATTGGGGGGAGGGGAGGGAGGAAATCTTTCATTTTTCATTGTTCTGTCTTTTCCCAAATCTTCAAATTTCAAGAAAAAGTTCTTGACAAAAGAAATACTGAAATTTCCTTCAAACCTTCCCAAAACTGGAGAAATTCAGAAAAACGTACAGGTGTCAAAAGGCAAAAAAATGGAAGAGAAAACCAAACAAGCAAATAAACCTTGCAGGAAAAATATTCAATATTTTCAAGTACTTTGAAACAATATTCTGAAAGCGCAAAGTACTGGCACCTAAACCCTGCACAGAGGAGACCCTTTAACACTTCTTGCTTTGTGTCCACGTAACATTCATTTTCTGCGTTTGGGCCAGCTCCGCCACCCTGGGAACATTCAAAGACCCCAGTGAAATTGGGGCATGGTGCTAAGTGCTTTATTAAAACAAAGAAAGAGTTAACAACTCTAGTAAACTGTACAGGTGCCTTATTTTTAAACAAAATTATCTGACATGCAAACAGGTTTCACACACACCCAGTGTCTATTGAGAATAATTATATACGTGTGCGTGCACACACACACACAAATATAAATCAAACAACCACATGCACATTCCCCTAGATACCTGCCTGAAAGCCATAATCCTTCTTGACATCTGATTGTGCAATCTGCATTGCTGAGTCCCATCTCTTGGCTTTATCAAAGATACCACGGGAAGCAACAAGGCCAGGCGTGCATAAATCTGGACCCATGTGATTTCACGAGCAGCAGGTATCTTCCCCGAGAGCTGAAAATTAAACTATACCTACTACGTTTGATCCAGCTGGCTGTCACTCATCTTCCCCCCCAGATAAAAAAGCACATAAAGAAATACATGAGACACTCAGGCCAAGTTGACACCACAAACGTACCATTCCTGGCAGTGCCACCCGCATGTACACAGCACTGTCACGGGCACACGCCTTCCTTAACTAGAAGCGGGGGAGCCAGGCCTGTGTTGCTCTGAGGGAAGTGACTTGGCACCAACTTTTGGCTGCGCTACTCCCGGCGCCATGCAAATGTGGCCATGCTGCTTCTAGTGTGGGAGGGTGAGCCAGGTGTCTGAGGGTGGCACTGCCTGGCTCAGTAAGTCGGTCATGTAGGCAAGGCTAATGAAGAAAGATCCATATAGTAGGAGCAGCGCTAGGATGTAATAAGACTTTTGATGAATGACTCTCAACTGAGTTAAGACCCCGGACCTACAAAACGCATGCCCGCAGCACCAGTGCTCCATGGGACTCCTCGGGCATGTGAGGTTCTCCACGTACATACCCGTGTTTGTCTCTCAAGTCCGGGAGCCGGACCTACAGGTGTGACTAAGCTACAATGAGCCAGAACAAACTTTCAGGACAATTTTGTTCAGTGTTTACACATTTCACGTGCGTAACCTTGCGAAGGACACGCTGGGTGTAGAATGATTAATTCTAACGTCATGATCTTGTGTAAATAAAAGGGGATCAGAATATTTGCCCAAGAAGGTGGCTCGCTTCTTTTGTCTTTCTCTATGTTGCATCCCAAGTAATTGGGCGAGGGGACAAGTTTCAACAGGTGGCTGTAGGACGAAGAGCTACTGGCACAGAGAGGACAGAACAAACAGAGCAGGCTGGAAAAAACAACTGGCTTTGGCAGGATTCTGGGTTTTTTGAAGACTTGATTAAAAAAATAGTTTTTAAAAACTTAAATTATTGAGGTGTTTTTGTCTCTTCCCTCCCCGCCTATTTTCCAGTGACTGAACAGGAAAAAGAGGAAACTGGAGGGGAAAAGTGTTTGGTTTACTGCCCAACAACCAAACTATTTTCCATAAAAATATCCATTTGCCTTCATCCCAACTGAACAGTTGGTCCCATAAAAGACACCACTCTAAGAAATACTTGCCTCCTGCATAATTTCTGCACCCTCATAGATACAGCCTCGCTCTTACACTATATCATTTCCCTTCACAAATATAGAGCAGAAAATAGTCTATTAGCTCTAGCCCACAGGAAAGCAAGGCACTTAGACCAAGGGAAGTAAAATCAAACAGAGCTGGCACTATGGGCATCGTAGTGGAAGTTTTACTGATGCTGAGGCCAGTGGCAGAAACGAGGAGGTGGCAACAGAAGACAGATGGCAATGGCAAGAAAAGGCATTAGCAATGTACAGGAGCACCCTGAAGCCTCTGGAAGGAAGCAGGAATTGAGGAGGATGGGGTGGGCAAAGAGGGACTTGGAGCAGAAGTGTTAAAAGAAGGAAGGCTGATTTATTGAAGGGGAGAGAAACTGGAAACAGAGAAAAAACACCTGGGGCGGAAAGTTTGAAATGACTTGGCAGGAGCAATTGGGCAAGAGTGGAAGAAGGTAGGATCTGAAGTCAAAGAGAGCCTGAGAGACAGTACAGCATAGCTGCAGTCCATTTGTTTTCCAATGGCCTACGCACCTGAAGCCTACCACTTGTTAGCTGCCACCTAATAGGATATATTTTTCAACAGGCCAGTGTTTCCACGATACAGTACAACCCCCCGCTCCATGTTCATGTTCCAACGAGTCAGCACAATAACGGACCTATCGTCAGATTAATGCTCGTAAAGCTCGGAGCTAGAGGTTATCATCATCCCAGCCAATCCGCGCCGTGTTCAGCTACTAAGACAAACACAGACCTGCAAGAGAAAACAGGCCCAAGACGGAGGCTGTGCGCAAAGTGGAAGCAAAGCATTTGCGTTATGCAAACATGCAGAGCACAAAGGTGACTCACTGAAGATAGCGAGGAAGGAAAGGAGGAGGGAACCAGGGCAGTGGGAGAAGTTAAGATATACTTGATAAGAAGTCTGGCATATTTAGCTGTCTCTCTGAATCAGCAGGGGACACGTGGACAATCCTGACTGTCCTGCATTGAACACTGATATACCTGAATTAGTTATCAGTGCTTGCTGAGAACGATTTGGTACAATCGGTACCGGACATACCCATACAATGAGCAACAGGGCTCAAACATACGTGACAAAGGGAAGCTTTTATGTCCCAATAATAAAAAATGGTAAAAGGAAATGAAATCCTCAGAGGTTATTTTAACCCCAGTCTATGGCAGCAAGTAAGGTACAGAGCCTATTCCCTGGGCATAAACCAAGAATAATTCCACATCTATATCAGCGTAAAGGAAATCAGAATCTGACCGATAATGTCAGTGGACAGGAGAAGGGAGAACTGTGTGAAGATGTGAGAGGCCCCAAATAAAACGCTGCCCTAAACTTTGGGAAGGTTCATAAATGGGTGTGAACATTATGACTGAGACCTCGCCATATGGGAAGCTCCTTCTTTCCTCTCAAAGCTCTGAGAAAGATCTGAAAGCTCAGATTCAGATCTGAATTCGATACGGCCTCTCTCTCAAACACTGCAATGTCAGGTTCCTCTTCACCTTTATTATTTTAGTATGCAGTAACATGTTTTTGCAAAAGAAATACCGCACATTCCACAACGCTGCATAATATCTGACAAATGTTTGACTATCGTGTGTGATTAAGGGAATTATCAAGTCAGTTAAGCCTTCCTACAATAGTCCAGCTTCTGCATCTTTCAGAGCTTGGCAGGGATTTGTCTGTGGGATAGTCACTAGAGTCCGTGGGAATCATATGACTGCTTTTTTGGCCCACAACTTACAAATTTGATTACAAAGGATTATTATTTACATTATATGGAGCTCCAACACGGTGAAGGAACAGGGCTGTATTGCGCCGGGTGCTGTAGAGACAAGCAATAGCTACGAAGACTGTCACAACTAGAGAATTTACAATCTTACAATCTGTAGGTCAACATCCAACATCCATTGCATTTTCTTTTACAGTGTTTTCCACCCAGTTTCTAATGAAATATAAGTAGAGTTGTACTTACAGACAAGGTAAATCGAATCTCCTTATGGTTATAGTTTTTGAAAAGCTTCTTCTTTAATGCTTTTACAGCATCTTTAGGCCTGTGGCAAGAAATTAAAGAGAGAGAGGCAATAAGTGGTTAGGTAATAGATGGTTTATCTTTCAACTTTCCCCAATACCTGAAAATACTGACCCTAAGGCCTCAGAGCCCATGCTTACACCAGCATGAAACTAGGGACGTTGTGCCATCGAGCAAAAGAATCACACCTTTGGCCTGAATCTGGAGTAATGCAGTGGTGAAACCAGCTCATTACTACAGATACTACTTTCCTCCAGGGGCCCTGTGCAGAAGAAGAAAAATAAATCCCCCCGTGAAGACTTTCCTCTCCAAAATTATTTTCTCTCGCAGTTGTGCAAGAGATTTTTGTAATGCTCATTAGGCGGAAAGGGAGCAAACTGCTTAAACTGGCAAGGTGAGAGGGTGAGAGGGCTGGCTAGTGCCCAGTCTTCATTTATGTTGGTGTTAGTATCTGGGTCTAGGTTAAATTCCAACTCTGTAATTGCAGGATGCTTATCCCCAACCTGGGTAATTGCTGTGTGCTGATAAACAGCTACTGCACTCCACCCCAGAGACGGTGGCGTTTTCATCCTGGGCCTTGTGATTTCCATATATACAGTTCAACGGAACTGCGGGGGAGTGCAGAGGTGGAGGATAGCATCAGCATCCCACATAGTCTAGCTTCTGTGTATAGGTCACCTAGGTATTACGGAGCCACGTGATAAGCAAAAACAAAATATTTTTAATATTACTGATGCGTCATCTAGAAGGTTCTTAACAGACCTTAATGTAACTAAGCAACAACTTGTTAAAAAAAACACATTAGTTTAATCTGAAATACAAAGAAGTTTTCAAACTCCGTTAAAATCACTGTCCTTGAGTACCACTATAGTGGTGAAGATACCTGAACATACTTGTGGAGCATCTAATCCAGTAGGCGGGGATGGATGAGAAAGAAAAATTTCCCTGTAGACAAGTTATTCCATCGTTTCACACTTGTTTCTTAAACCCTCCCCTGAAGCAACTGCTACCTGTTACCTAATTCTGATTTCTCTCTCCTTCTTATATTCTGCTTTCTGCTTGTCCTTTCACGGCATCTAATGATATAAGCTTTAGCTCTCGAAAGCTGGGGTTATATACATCTATTTGGCTAGTCTATCAGGTGCAAATCTACTCTGCCTTCTTCTCGATTTCAGACTCACTGGGGGACATCTACACGAGACGCTTAATGCGCAGTAGACTAATTCTCCTGCACACTAGCGCGTCACAGCACAAGCCATGTTAATACACAGTCGAATTAGTCTAGTGTGCATTAAGCGTCACAAAAAGACCATGCATCTTTGCTACTGAACTGCAGGGTGAGCTACTGCGCATTTAGTTAGTACCTCACATTACAGGTACTAAATTTAATGTGCCGTCGCAATAGCACATTAATGCACACGTAGATGTGCTCATTATGTCCCATCAGTTGTCCAATCGGACACAGCAGTTCTGTCATTTCCAGTGCCCTGTGTCAGACTGTGACCAGCAGCAGATGATTCAAAGGAAGTTGCCAGGCATTTCAATATGGACAGTTATAGAATAAACTACTCAACAAGGGAGCTTCACAGTGAACGGTGCACTGAAAGGTGCAATGCAAAGAAGACACCGTAAAACTAATGCTGCCAGCTATCTCATCCCCTTGCCAATGGCAAGAGCCAGAGAGGCTCAAATAGTATAGTCATAAATAAGATCACAAGGTTGGAAAAACACAAAAAAAGAATGAAAAAACTACAGGGGAAATAACTTGTGTTATCACAATGGCAGGGATGAATCCTCTCCAAAATGCCACCACTACCACTGCTGCAATTCTATTCCAGCACTTTATTAAGGGATCTAACAGTGCTTTAAAAAGGAGATTAATATAATTGGGCGCACACACTTTTTACACACACACACACGTACTTTATACACACACTTTTTTGTACCTTGACATGCTGGAGATCCAGCGGGTTGGAGCAGACTCAATTAATCAAGTCTGCTGTACATGAGCTGATGCACACTGCGCTGTCACGTGCAGTTGTATAAGCAGCGAAATGCACATCAGCGCACAGAAAATGGCAGTGGTGTGCTTTTGAACTAAGACACCTTCGAGCTGTTTTAGTTCAAAAGCACGCTGCCGCCATTTTCTCAGCATGGACACACATTTCGCTGCTTATACAACCGCATGCGCCGCAGCGCCAGCTGCTTTTAAAAGTGTCTGAAGCTGCAGCACAGACATATGTACAAATGCGCATTGTTCTCATTTTAAAAGTAGAGACGGTGACTAAAGAGTAGAGATGGAGGAGTAAAATTGCTTGCCCCAAGATCACCAGGTTAGATGAGGAGGTTAGATGAACACCTTGCCAGGGTCGTTTGACCCCAGTACTCTTTCCTGCCATGGCAGGGGGTCGGACTAGATGATCTGCTCAGGTCCCTTCCGACCCTAGGAAACTATGAAACCAGCAAACCGCTGGAACAGAATCCAGGCCTAATATGTTGTATCCAACGGGTGCTTCCCGGAAAGCCTAGATCAGTGATTCTCAAAATCCTCGAGTCTAATGAAGCAGCTCTCATTAGACTCAAGGCACCTCTCAGAAAGTGCTCTTATTTTTCACCTGTGTTCTGACTACAGAATAATAATAGATCGATGTTTCTGTTGCCGAGAACTCAGATCACAAGTCAGGATGCTTTTAGCACTATGGATCCTATTTGAAATCTCTGGATTTAACTTGTCGATCGTGTTTGCACACCTAACAATGCTAACAGTGTGCAACACCCCTGAAGGCACCCTAGGGTGCTGCAGCACCCTTTTTTAGAATCCCTGGCCTAGATTTATATCTAGATATTCCCGGATCACGTTGGAATACTACCTGTAATACCTTTTCATTCTTCTGGTAATGCATTTAATAGTAACAGGCAAAACACGTCTAACAAGGAACCTTGGTCTAAAATTATAATATCATCTCAGCAGGTAACCACAGGCTCATGTGAGAGTCTCTGCTCTGGCAGGAACTGGCAATGTCTATGATAAGGGATGATATTTCCTTGTACACTGATGGTATCTCAAGCTGCTGGTAGGATGGGATGCTTGCACCATAGTTTGTCTTGTTAGGAGATGACACAGTTAGGAGATGATATCTCCTCATTTGGGGAAGGGAGAAGTTTTACAGGGACTGTACTTTCCTCTACAGTGCATGTACAAGGATATTCCCTTTCTCTACAGCACTGGTTCTCAATCTTTTCAGACACGAGGCACTCTTCAGAAAACACCAGCTCTTTGGTTTCCCTTGTTTATTGACTACAGAGAAACACAGCAGCAATTTTCTTGCTGCAAAGACCTCAGAAAGACCACAAGAGACCAGGACGTTTTTAACACTGTGGATATGAAACCTCTGAGTTTATCTTGTGAATCGTGTTTCACAAGTGCTAACTTTGCGGGGCATCCTGTGGTGCCTTTCAAAGCATCTGAAGGCACCCCAAGGTGCTGCAGCACCCCGGTCAAAAATCCCTGCTCTCCACCGTGCATCAGGATCTTCTACATTACCAGCTTCAGGATTGTTTTTTTTGACGGAAAGGAGATGCAAGGAACTCACAGACTTTTAACTCTTTTTTTCTTGCTTCCCTATGCTCTGCACATGGGAAGTAGCCTAAACAGTTCAATCCTGAATCTTTACAGATCCTGGGCTCAAACAAGCCTCTGCATTAGCTGAGATTTTGTTTTTAAGAATTTTTTTGTGTTCCAAGCCAAATCCAGTCCAAATCCATGAGTCAGTCCAGAACCAGAAGTGGCCATTACCAACCTCCACCAGGGGCTTCAGATGTTTCCAATGTCTTTTGGCGGGCATGAACGAGGCGCGCCCCTGGAAGTTGCAGGGGCATGGTGCTGATAATGCAGGAAGCTGCAGCAGTGTCGGCAGCAGGGGGCAAGGGACCAGAGACCACCCACAGATGCTGCTGGCGGTGGTGGTGGCGGAGGGGTGGTGTGGCAAGTGGCGACTGCCCCGCAGGCGCTGCCGAGAGTGGTGCCCAATTACAGGGGGTGCACCCCCTACTCATCACCAATGTTGGTGGGCATCCAACCCTGCCAACCCCGCATCCAACCCTGCAGGTCCAAGCCTGGAGGCTTGGGGTCCAAAGCGGGTTCAAGCCCAGAGGCTCAGGGCTCAAGCGGGTTCCAATCTGGAGGCTTGGGATTCAAGCGGGTCCAAACCTGGAGGCTTGGGATTCAAGCGGGTCCAAACCTGGAGGTTTGGGGCTCAAGTGGATCCAAACCTGGAGGCTCAGGGTTCAAGCAGGTCCAAGCTTGGAGGTTCAGGGTTCAAGCGGGTCCAAGCCCGCAGACTCGGGCCTCAAGTGGGTCCAAGCCCAGAGGCTCGGGGCTCAAGTGGGTCCAAACCTGGAGACTCGGGGTCCAAGCCCGGCGGCGCCATTGGCAGTCATCCACCCCCACAAGTCCACGCTGGGAGGACTGGGGGTTCGGATGCCCCCGAGTTTCACCTGCCCTCAGCCGGCCAGCCGCAGCACCCTCCCCAACGGTACGGCCTCCCCTTCGCCCCCGGGACGCTTTCCGCTGAAAAAGGACGGAGCCAAAGACAAGAAGGGGGCACTGGGGACTGCCCCCCCCCGGGGGAACAACCCCGCCTCGAACCTCCCGAGGG